TTAGACTTACAACCCAACTCGGTACATCATCAGATGCAGCATTCTTCACCTGACCTCAGCCGGACTATAAATACTCGCGTTCCTTCCACCCCAGGTAGTTCTGTTTGTGACTTGAAAAAGCCCACTGTGTGGGCGAAACGTAGTCAATAAAGGATCACATTATACTGCATTTGTGTTTATATTGCCATTGTGTCGGTATTTTATACCATTTATTTCCATGTTCCAGAGATGGAACACAGAACATAAGAACATAAGAATGGAGGAACACTGCAGAAGGTCTACTGGCCCATGCAAGGCAGGTCCTTATCAAAACGACCTCTCCCTAAAGCTACCCAAGAAATAACTCCCGTACCCAATGACACCAATCAAACCCAGCTCCTCCCACTCATATATTTGTCCAATCTCTTCTTAAAGCTAAGCAAGGTCCTAGACTCTATCGCCAAACTGGGAAGATTGTTCCACGCATCTACAACTCTGTTAGAAAACCGGTACTTACCTATGTCCTTTCTAAATCTAAATTTATCCAACTTAAATCCATTATTTCTGGTTCTTACCTGGTTCGACACCCACATTACTTTATTAATATCTCCTTTGTTTATGCCCATCATCCACTTATACACTTCAGTGACATCCCCCCTCATTCTACGTCTCTCCAGAGAGTGGAGATTTAAGGCTTTAAGTCTATCTTCATACGGGAGGTTCCTTACACAGGAGATTCCTTACACAACGAGGGGTCACAATTATAAGTTGAAGACTCAGATGAATCACAGAGATGTTAGGAAGTAGAATAGTCCGGGAAGTGATGTAGTGGAGGCAGGATCCATACATAGCTTTAAGGAGAGGTACGAACATAAGAGTATAAGAAAGAAGGAACACTGCAACAGGCCTACTGACCCATGCAGAGCAGGTCCATGTCCCCCCCCCCCGGATTAGACGAATGAGACCCGCCAGGGTATTTTTTTTCCTCCCGATGATATGAACGAAATATAATATTTTCAAAATTTATTCAGCATGTCCAATTAGAGGAACTTACTGTGCCGAGTACAGGAAAGGTAATCTCAGAGGTTGCTGCACAGGAACAACAGTTTTAGAAATAATTGAATTTACAGATGACAAATTTACAAAGAATCAGAAGGTGCTTTTATGTGAAAGAAAAACATCCCAGTCCAGCTGTCACTCGCAACAGTCATAGAGTGATAAAATATTATGAAAGGTAATCCTTTGTACAAGTACAGTGCCTGCACTCTGAAGGAGGGGTGTTAATGTTGCAGTTTAAAAACTGTAGTGTAAAGCGCCCTTCTGGCAAGACAGTGATGGAGTGAATGATGGTGAAAGTTTTTCTTTTTAGGGCCACCCTGCCTTGGTGGGAATCGGCCAGTGTGATAATAAAAAATAATAAATAATCCTTTGTTAAGGTAGAAGGGAAGAAATCGACATTTGTTCCTCGATCAAGACAGAACAGCTGAGGAAGAGAGTAAAGAAAACAAAAACACGAATGAGCCTAACGAAATAACATCAGTTGAAAATGCTTAGCCACTCAGAGTACACCATAAACAACCCCACAGGAGCTTTTTCCAAGTATTACTTTCCTTTCCCACACTCACACACTAACTGAAAACAGTCCAAATCCTGCGCCCCATCTTCCAAACCTACACTCATAATCTTATCAGCTTCCATTGCAAATGAAACCTCCATAACCATTCTCATCCCAATCCTCAAGTCCCATTTCCCTCTACCCATTACCCTCCCTGTCCTCCCTCACTTACATCCATGATCCTGACTCCCTCCGGTGCAATATCATCGCCACAACCACTCCTTACCTTCACTCCTTCCCCTTCCCTTCCCCAACACCACATCCCATACCCCTCACCCATGAGCTAGGACAAGGAAATTAGGAAACCAAAAACCCGTAACAAATTAACAGAAATACAACAAGCAGAATGGTGCACAAATGCAAATATTAATAAGAGTGATGACAACACGAATATCACAACCTTCTCCAAACTTCACATCGTTCATAGAAACAAAATCAGATCTGATCTCTTCTTCTGGAGTTTTTAATAGAAGAAAAGACAGGGGAAGCAAAAGTGGTGAAGGAGTTACGCTGATAATCAGAAGCTAGTGGAATTTTAAAAACATGAGAGAAATAAACAGAATGGATTCAAATAATTGCATTATATGGGGACTCAAGACTGGCGATCCCCAGCTGCCTCCACCAGCAAACAGCAGCAGAGTAGCAAGACAGGATTATGGTGACAGTAACAGAGCGACAACGGACAAAATAGCGAAAGGAACTAGAAATTTATTGATAATGAGAATAACAATAACGATATAGTTTTGGAGAATCTTGAGCTAGGACATGTCTGGAGAGATAGGAACTCTGTAAGGAGTTGACAAAAATTCAGTAGGTATTTTGGAAGGATATAGAGACATTATTAGAGGAAGAGTACACAAACACGTACTGAACACTAAGTAGGACAGGTGAGAAAACCACTTAGCTAACTAGATACCTCGCTAGCAGAGGCACAGTGTGAACCATTAACAACAATATTCAGCAAATCAATTGATACAGTTGCCAGAATTATGAAGGAATGTCATGATATGGAGTAGATAACAGTACCAAACAGAACTTATTTTTTTTATGCAGTACAGAAACGAAATTTAGACTGAAAGTTAGACTTCTTTCACATCTCATCTCCATAATGTCTTAGTTAAATCGTTCATCATATTTCTCACTAACGTTACCGAGGTTTGGCAGGAAAAAAATCGATGTGGAAGAAATGAATCTTCAGGGACATCTAGCATTCCAGTATATATGTCTGCAATTATCACTTTGATGACTGGCCAATAAACCAGTCAGGTGTTCTGGAAATCCACTCATACTCTGAGTTCAGAATCTTGGATGACGATGCCTTCCTTCAGGGGTCATTGAAGGGTAATTTTTTTTTTTTTTTAATTTTCGTTCGATTTCTTTCATTTTTTTTGTACGTAAAGAAGCACCTTTCAATAGTAATGTGACCAAGTTTCAATAAGATAGCTCAAAAAACAACTGAGAAAAAAATTATTTACTAATAATCATACATATTGCAAGGTGCCGTCGAAGTGGGACTTGGAGAAGTTGTTTTGGCATTATCTACGCATAAAACAATGCTAAACTGTATTTCTAATGGATTGCCGTTCTGTAATTTATCCTTTCTTCATTCTTAAAAAAAATAAATTTTGTATGTTTTTTGACTTTCAGCCAAATATCTGACTTTTGCCCTCACAAAAATCAAAAACAAATTATGATATCTCAAAAAGAGATCCATGGGATTGTAAAACAATCTTTCCTTTATGTTCTCTGTGAATTTCATTACATTCCTGCTATTATTAACTTAGTTACTTGCTCATATATGTGAATAACTTACTTCCGAGATAATCCGCGAAACAGCCGGACCACCTTTTTTTTTTTTTTTTTTTTCGAGAAAATAACATTTTTCTCAGTCTTATACTGCATTACGAGTGTATATCATAGTTAACCATGTTCGTTTTCTCTAATATAAGGACCCTGGAGGTGAGAGAAAGAGAATGTAAGCCCCTCTCTGAGAATGGGAATCTATTATTCCCGATGGAGCGCTCTGGGAATATTCCATATATTATTCATTCTGGAGTATTTACCATACTTCTTTGTTATTTATATTGTTTATTATGTCATTTTTAGATCAATTGTGATAGATAAATAAGCCGTAGAAGCTATAATAGCGTTATATTGAGCCATATTCCCCGGCCACCCCCGAGACTGGAATTTTCCATGACGTCAGCAAGACTCAGCAAAATGGTGTCGGGAGGTTCCTGGTTGGTTGGAACTCTACGTATAAGTCCCACCCACTGTATTATGATACCAAATCGTCAATTATTATCTTAGAAAGAATAATACAGTAAATACACGAAAAAAAAACGGAAAAAAAAAATAAATTGACGACAGGTGAGCACACCTGCCGCGGGTGGTGACGTCACCCTAGGTGTATTTAAATGACCATAATTCCTTGTAGGAATGTCGCAGAAAAAATGATTCTGGTACCATTTGTGTTGCCAGAGAGTTAAGCTATTTTTCTATAAGATTAACTCAGTTTGTGAATTTTTTTCGGAAAAAATTTTTCGTTCGCGCTGAGCATGTCAAAACCCCCTTCAGTATGTCGTCACAAACGTAGGGAGACCTCTCCTTCAGATAAACTTCTCTTGTACCTTCTTTGTCCAACTCTTTGACGAGGTTTTCAAAGAGGCTTATTTTGATGTGTAAATTGGCGGAAGAAGTATGTCCTTTAGATCTACTTATGACGTATGTTGAATATTATTCACGCCTTTCTCGTACGATTCTCGAGTTGTCCATAAATGCTGGAAACAGGAAACAGTACTTTTAAAACCGCTTTACAGACCCAGTAACAAACCTATTATTTTTAGGTCACAGCAGGTTTTTCCGCTCAGACTTTTAATATTCGATCAGAGTGATAAGTTTTTGCACTGTCTCAAATATTTCTCCCAAGTCTCTAGCGGAAGCAAAAGATTTAAGGTAAAGTGTTATCACTGTGAGGTAAGATTACCTTCACACTTGCTTTGCTGCAATCAGTAAATAAAGCCCTACCTTGCTGGATCAAAATATTCATTCACAGCATCGAAAGTCCCCATTAACTTCAAAAAAAGTAACATTTAAAGTAGCCTTCTCTGTCATTTTCTGAATTAGCTGATTGCTATTTCTGGACGCAGTAAATTTCGCTGACGCAATCTTGAACCAAGTAGGTGATTACATCGTCTTTACGTCTCTTCTGCTCCTATAAACTTTTCTGTACTCGACTGAAGAAGCCTACTATGTAGGCGAAACGTTTCGAAATAAAGATACCTAACTGTTGCATATGTCTCTTACCTAACAGACTGTTCCTTGGATAAATTAGGATCACGCACAAGATCGTTAGGCTCAACGTGGATAGGACCTGATACTCGGCGAGTAAAGAAAGCACACTCACCTGTTGCTGACATCGACGAGGATCTTGTTGCTGAGTGTGTCGAGGGGAAGGGAACTGACGTGTTGGAAAGGGATGGCAATCACAACCAGGTTGCTTTTCTGCAGAGCCTCAGCGTATGTCATAATGGTACCTCCTGCTGCTATCACCCGCTGTCTGCGATGATAGTACTGTCAGTAGGGAGCGTTTACCTTAATGGGTTAAGAGGGAACAATGAACTGGCCATAACCTGTACATCGAAGAATATATAAAAACTATATAATGATGAGTTTAACAGTGTTAAACTCATCAGGTTCGTCATGAAACAGGACAAGTATTTCCTGACGCGGGTCTTAGATGATGACCCGCCTTTAGAGCTTTTGCTCGTCTGACCGAGACCTTCCGCTGGCTTACCGGTCCACTCCTTTAATAATTATGGCCATTTATAACCATTTTTTCAAACTCATCAGAAAAAACTTGAACATTTAAAAGGAAAAAAAACCGATGAGCTCATCCTTATAATTTTTTTTGTAAATATAAATAATCGAAAAAAACACTAGAACCAAATAACATTATAAACCAAAAAAAAAAAAATTCTAATAAGACTAATAGAAAGAAAAAAAAATCTTCTAAAATAAGTGTTCTTAATAAAGAAGTAATTACAAAGAAGGAAATAAATTAAGGAGATAATGTGAAATAAAGAATATTGAATAAATTAGTAAATCAGACATTAGTAAAAAAATATTTGATTCCAAAATCTAAATAATTTTTGAAAGTTTAGTAAATCAAACACTAGAAGACAACATAGAATTTCAAAATCTAAATTTTTGAAAGTTTAAAGGAATAAACTCAGACCAGATATATTCCAAAAGAAAAAAATATTTTATTTCCTCAGTTACTCAATGTGTGTCACACCCTGTAAGTTTAGCACAGAAAACTTGTGCCACACCCTGTAAGTTTAGCACAGAAAACTTGTGCCACACCCTGTAAGTTTAGCACAGAAAACTTGTGCCACACCCTGTAAGTTTAGCACAGAAAACTTGTGTCACACGCTGTAAGTTTAGCACAAAAACTAGTGCCACACCATGTAAGTTTAGCACAAAAACTAGTGCCACACCATGTAAGTTTAGCACAAAAACTTGTGCCACACCCTGTATGTTTAACACAAAAACTTGTGCCACACCATGTAAGTTTAGCACATAAAACTTGTGCCACACCATGTAAGTTTAGCACATAAAACTTGTGCCACGCCCTGTAAGTTTAGCACATAAAACTTGTGCCACGCCCTGTAAGTTTGGCACATAAAACTAGTGCCACACCATGTAAGTTTAGTACAAAAACTTGTGTCACACCCTGTAAGTTTAGCACAAAAACTTGTGCCACACCATGTAAGTTTAGTACAAAAACTTGTGCCACACCCTGTAAGTTTAGCACAAAAACTTGTTTCCACCCCCATGTAAATTTAGTACAAAAACTTGTGCCACACCCTGTAAGTTTAGCACAAAAACTTGTTTCCACACCATGTAAGTTTAGTACAAAAACTTGTGCCACACTGTAAAATTTAGCACAAAAAACTTTTGCACACCCTATAAGTTAGCACAAAAAAAATTGTGCCACACCCTGTAAGTTTAGCACCAAAACTTGTGCCACACCCTGTAAGTTTAGCACAAAAACTTGTGCCACACCCTGTAAGTTTAGCACAAAAACTTGTGCCACACCCTGTAAGTTTAGCACAAAAACTTGTGCCACACCCTGTAAGTTTAGCACAAAAACTTGTGTCACACCCTGTAAGTTTAACACAAAAACCGGTTTTTATTACTTTTCCATTATATTTTAGTAGTTTAATTTGGTTGTTAAAATACTTCAAGAAAAATATTTATTCCTAACTTTTACAGCAGTAGACATGAACCACAAGAAAAATAATTTACTCTGACTCGTTTTTTTGGGTTATATTGAGCACTTTATTCACGTGTTAAACTATGTTTGACAGTTTTACTTATGTACCTAAATAAACTTGCTTATTTACTTACTAGCCTCAGATAATATAAAAAATTTGAGTGGCGGGTCATTGTATGACTGAGTGGCGGGTCATTGTATGACTGAGTGGCGGGTCATTGTATGACTGAGTGACGGGTCATTGTATGACTGAGTGGCGAGTCATTGTAGACGAGTGGCGGGTCATTGTATGACTGAGTGGTGGGTCATTGTATGACTGAGTGGTGGGTCATTGTATGACTGAGTGGCGGGTCATTGTATGACTGAGTGGCGGGTCATTGTATGACTGAGTGACGGGTCATTGTATGACTGAGTGGCGAGTCATTGTATGACTGAGTGGCGGGTCATTGTATGACTGAGTGGTGGGTCATTGTATGACTGAGTGGTGGGTCATTGTATGACTGAGTGGTGGGTCATTGTATGACTGAGTGGCGGGTCATTGTATGACTGAGTGGTGGGTCATTGTATGACTGAGTGGTGGGTCATTGTATGACTGAGTGGTGGGTCATTGTTATGATGAGTGGCGGGTCATTGTATGACTGAGTGGTGGGTCATTGTATGACTGAGTGGGGGTCATTGTTGACTGAGTGGTGGGTCATTGTATGACTGAGTGGTGGGTCATTGTATGACTGAGTGGTGGGTCATTGTATGACTGAGTGGTGGGTCATTGTATGACTGAGTGGCGGGTCATTGTATGACTGAGTGGTTTGGGGCATTGTATGACTGAGTGGTGGGGCATTGCATGACTGAGTGGTGGGTCATTGTATGACTGAGTGGTGGGTCATTGTATTTGGGCTGAGTGGGGGGTCATTGTATGACTGAGTGGTGGGTCATTGTATGACTGAGTGGGGTCATTGTATGACTGAGTGGTGGGTCATTGTATACTGGTGGTGGGTCATTGTATGACTGAGTGGTGGGTCATTGTATGACTGAGTGGTGGGTCATTGTATGACTGAGTGGTGGGTCATTGTATGACTGAGTGGCGGGTCATTGTATGACTGAGTGGTGGGTCATTGTATGACTGAGTGGTGGGTCATTGTATGACTGAGTGGTGGGTCAATTGTATGACTGAGTGGTGGGTCATTGTATGACTGAGTGGCGGGTCATTGTATGACTGAGTGGTGGGTCATTGTATGACTGAGTGGCGGGTCATTGTATGACTGAGTGGCGGGTCATTGTATGACTGAGTGGCGGGTCATTGTATGACTGAGTGGTGGGTCATTGTATGACTGAGTGGTGGGTCATTGTATGACTAAGTGGTGGGTCATTGTATGACTGAGTGGTGGGTCATTGTATGACTGAGTGGTGGGTCATTGTATGACTGAGTGGCGGGTCATTGTATGACTGAGTGGTGGGTCATTGTATGACTGAGTGGGGGTCATTTGTATGACTGAGTGGGGTCATTGTATGACTGAGTGGGGGTCATTGTATACTGAGTGGTGGGTCATTGTATGACTGAGTGGTGGGTCATTGTATGACTGAATGGCGGGTCATTGTATGACTGAATGGCGGGTCATTGTATGACTGAATGGCGAGTCATTGTATGAGTGAGTGGCGGGTCATTGTATGACTGAATGGCGGGTCATTGTATGACTGAATGGCGGGTCATTGTATGACTGAATGGCAGGTCATTGTATGACTGAATGGCGGTCATTGTATGGGCTGAATGGGGAGTCATTGTATGACTGAATGGCGGGTCATTGTATGACTGAATGGCGAGTCATTGTATGACTGAGTGGCGGGTCATTGTATGACTGAGTGGCGGGTCATTGTATGACTGAATGGCGGGTCATTGTATGACTGAATGGCGAGTCATTGTATGACTGAGTGGCGGGTCATTCTATGACTGAATGGCGGGTCATTGTATGACTGAATGGCGAGTCATTGTACGACTGAGTGGCGGGTCATTGTATGACTGAGTGGCGGGTCATTGTATGACTGAATGGCAGGTCATTGTATGACTGAGTGGCAGGTCATTGTATGACTGAGTGGCAGGTCATTGTATGACTGAGTGGCAGGTCATTGTATGACTGAGTGGCAGGTCATTGTATGACTGAATGGCGGGTCATTGTATGACTGAATGGCGGGTCATTGTATGACTGAGTGGCGGGTCATTGTATGACTGAGTGGCGGGTCATTGTACGACTGAGTGGCGGGTCATTGTATGACTGAGTGGGGTCATTGTATGACTGAATGGCAGGTCATTGTATGACTGAATAGCGGGTCATTGTATGACTGAATGGCGGGTCATTGTATGACTGAGTGGCGCGTCATTGTATGACTGAGTGGCGGGTCATTGTACGACTGAGTGGCGGGTCATTGTATGACTGAGTGGCGGGTCATTGTATGACTGAATGGCAGGTCATTGTATGACTGAGTGGCAGGTCATTGTATGACTGAGTGGCAGGTCATTGTATGACTGAGTGGCAGGTCATTGTATGACTGAATGGCGGGTCATTGTATGACTGAATGGCTGGTCATTGTATGACTGAGTGGCGCGTCATTGTATGACTGAGTGGCGGGTCATTGTACGACTGAGTGGCGGGTCATTGTATGACTGAGTGGCGGTCATTGTATGACTGAATGGCAGGTCATTTGTATGACTGAGTGGCAGGTTTATTGTATGACTGATGGCAGGTCATTGTATGACTGAGTGGCAGGTCATTGTATGACTGAATGGCGGGTCATTGTATGACTGAGTGGCGGGTCATTGCATGACTGAGTGGCGGGTCATTGTATGACTGAATGGCGGGTCATTGTATGACTGAGTGGCGGGTCATTGTATGACTGAATGGCGGTCCTTGTAATGACGAGTGGCGGGTCATTGTATGAAATGAGTGGCGAGTCATTGTATGACTGAATGGTGGGTCATTGTATGACTGAGTGGTGAGTCATTGTATGACTGAATGGCGGGTCATTGTATGACTGAATGGCGGGTCATTGTATGACTTAGTGGCGGGTCATTGTATGACTTAGTGGCGGGTCATTGTATGACTGAGTGGCGGGTCATTGTATGACTGAATGGCGAGTCATTGTATGACTTAGTGGCGGGTCATTGTATGACTTAGTGGCGGGTCATTGTATGACTTAGTGGCGGGTCATTGTATGACTGAGTGGCGGGTCATTGTATGACTTAGTGGCGGGTCATTGTATGACTTAGTGGCGGGTCATTGTATGACTGAGTGGCGGGTCATTGTATGACTGGCGAGTCATTGTATGACTGAATGGCGGGTCATTGTATGACTGGCGAGTCATTTTATGACTGAATGGCGGGTCATTGTATGACTGAATGGCGGGTCATTGTATGACTGAGTGGCGAGTCATTGTATGACTGAATGGCAGGTCATTGTATGACTTAATGGCGGGTCATTGTATGACTTAGTGGCGGGTCATTGTATGACTGAGTGGCGGGTCATTGTATGACTGAGTGGCGGGTCATTGTATGACTGAATGGCAGGTCATTGTATGACTGAGTGGCAGGTCATTGTATGACTGAGTGGCAGGTCATTGTATGACTGAGTGGCAGGTCATTGTATGACTGAATGGCGGGTCATTGTATGACTGAGTGGCGGGTCATTTTATGACTGAGTGGCGGGTCATTGCATGACTGAGTGGCGGGTCATTGTATGACTGAATGGCGGGTCATTGTATGACTGAGTGGCGGGTCATTGTATGACTGAATGGCGGGTCAATGTATGGGCTGAGTGGCGGGTCATTGTATGACGAGTGGCGAGTCATTGTATGAAATGAATGGTGGGGTCATTGTAAGACTGAGTTGGGGAGTCATTGTATGACTGAATGGCGGGTCATTGTATGACTGAATGGCGGGTCATTGTATGACTGAATGGCGAGTCATTGTATGACTTAGTGGCGGGTCATTGTATGACTTAGTGGCGGGTCATTGTATGACTTAGTGGCGGGTCATTGTATGACTGAGTGGCGGGTCATTGTATGACTTAGTGGCGGGTCATTGTATGACTTAGTGGCGGGTCATTGTATGACTGGCGGGTCTTGTATACTGGCGAGTCATTTTTATGGGCTGAATGGCGGGTCATTGTAATGGCTGGGGAGTCATTTATGAAATGAATGGCGGGTCATTGTATGACTGAATGGCGGGTCATTGTATGACTGAGTGGCGAGTCATTGTATGACTGAATGGCAGGTCATTGTATGACTTAATGGCGGGTCATTGTATGACTTAGTGGCGGGTCATTGTATGACTGAGTGGGGTCATTTATGATGAATGGCGAGTTTATTGTATGACTTAGTGGGGGTATTGTATGACTGAGTGGCGGGTCATTGTATGACTGAGTGGCGGGGTCATTGTATGACTGAGTGGCGGGTCATTGTATGACTTAGTGGCGGGGTCATTGTAGACTTAGTGGGGGGTCATTGTATGAAATAGTGGCGGTCATTGTATGACTTAGTGGCGGGTCATTGTATGACTTAGTGGCGGGTCATTGTATGACTGAGTGGCGGGTCATTATATGACTGAGTGGCGGGTCATTGTATGACTGAGTGGCGAGTCATTGTATGACTGAGTGGCGGGTCATTGTATGACTGAGTGGCGGGTCATTGTATGACTGAGTGGCGGGTCATTGTATGACTGAGTGGCGAGTCATTGTATGACTGAGTGGCGGGTCATTGTATATCTGAGTGGCGGGTCGTTGTATGACTGAGTGGCGGGTCATTGTATGACTGAGTGGCGAGTCATTGTATGACTGAGTGGGGATCATTATAATTGAGGGGCGAGTCATTGTATGACTGAGTGGCGGGTCGTTGTATGACTGAGTGGCGGGTCATTGTATGACTGAGACAGTAGACACTTGTTCTGTTTCTCGATGACTTTTGCCTAGCCTAAACCTTATATAAAACGTGTCACTTTTATTTCATTAAAACTAGTGAGAAGTGAGCTGACATGTAATTTTTTTTATTTGGAGGCAAACTGGGTTATAGCCTACTTGAGGTGGTCTACAATCTATTTCTTACTAAAGCTGAGAAAGCCTTGGGAACGAATGGACACTTAAAAATAGGAGAGGAGAGTTATTAGTTGGAAAGTTGGAGGTATCGGGAGGATGGGGGGAATATTTTGAGTATTTGTTAAGTGTGGATGATGATCGGGAAACTGTGATTTCGTGTATAGGGCAAGGAGGAATAACATCTTGTAGGAGTGAGGAAGAGCCAGTTGTGAGTGTGTGGGAAGTTCATGAGGCAGTGGGTAGAATAAAAGGGGGTAAGGTAGCTAGGATTGATTGGATAAAGATAGAAACGTTAAAAGCAGGTGTAGATATAGTTTTGGAGTGGTTAGTGCTTTTATTTAATAAATGTACGGACGAGGGTAAGGTACCTAGTGACTGGCAGAGAGAATGCATAGTTCATTTGCAAGGGGGCAAAAGAGAGTGTAAAAAATTATAAGGGAATAAGTCTGTTGAGGATACTTGGTAAAGTGTATGGTAGAGTCTTTATTGAAAGTATTAAGAGTAAGACGGAGAGTAGGACAGCAGATGAACAAGGAGGCTACAGAAAGGGTAGGGGGGGGGGTGTAGACTAAGTGTTTGCAGTGAAACATATAGGGGAGCAGTATTTAGATAAGGGTAAAGAGGTTTTTTGTGGCATTTATGGATTTTGAAAAGGCTTATGATAGGGTGGATAGGGTGCAATGTGGCAGACATTGTAATTGTATGGAATAGGAGGTAGGTTATTAAAAGCAGTGAAGAGTTTTTACGAGGATAGTGAGGTTCAGGTTAGAGTATGTAGGAAAGAGGGAGATTATTTCCCGGTAAAAGTAGGCCTTAGACAAGAATGTGTGATGTCACCGTGGTTGTTCAATGTATTTATAGATGGGGTTGTAAGAGAAGTAAATGCAAGGGTGTTGGCAAAAGGTATGGGGTTAAAAGATAAAGAATTAAACACAAAGTGGGAGTTGTCACAGTTGCTCTTTGCTGATGACACTGTGCTTTTAGGAGATTCTGAAGAGAAGTTCCAGAGGTTGGTGGATGAGTTTGGTAGGGTACATAAAAGAAGGAAATTAAAAGTGAATATAGGAAAGAGTAAGGTGATGAGGATAAAATTAGGTAATGAAAGACTGGATATCAGATTCGAGGGAGAGAGTATGGAGGAAGTAAATATATTCAGATATTTGGGAGTGGACGTGTCAGCAGATGTGTTTATGAAATATGAGGTAAATCATAGAACCGACGATTGGATAAAGGTGAGTGGTGCACTGAGGAGTATGTAGAGACTAATAGAATTATCCATGGAAACAAAGAAGGGAACATTCGAGAGTATACACCAACGCCCTTATATGGGTATGAAGCATGATTGGTGAATGTTGCAACAAGGAGAAGGTTGGAGGCAGTGGAGATGTCATGTCTGAGGGCAATGTGTTGTGAGACTATAGTGCAGAGAATCTGTAGTTTGGAAATCAGGAGGTACAGGATTACCAAAACTATTATCCAGAAAGCTGAGGAGAGGTTATTGAGGTGGTTTGGACATGTATAGAGGCTGAAACAAAATAGAATGACTTGGAGAGTATATAAATCTGTAGTGGTGGGAAGGTGGGTGCAGGGATCGGCCTAGGAATGGTTGGTGGGAGAGAGTAAAGGAGGGTTTGTGTGCGAGGGGCTTGGACTTCCAGCAAGCATGCATGAGCGTGTTAGGAGCGAATGAAGACAAATGCTTTTTAGGACTTGACATGCTGTTGGAGTGTGAGGAAGGTCACATTTATGAAGGGATTCAGGGAAACTATCAAGCTTGACTTGAGTCCTGGAGATGGGAAGTACAGTGTCTGCACTCTGAAGGATGGGTGTTAATGTTCCAGTTTTATAACTGTAGTGTAGGCATGCCTCTGTCAATACCGTGATGGAGTGAATGATGAAAGATTTTCTTTCTCGGGCCCCCCTCCCTTGGTGGGAGACGGCCGATGTGTTAATAAAAAAAAACATAAGAATGGAGGCACACTGCTGCAGGCCTACTGGCTCATACAAGGCAGATACTTATCAAAGCCAACCATTCCAACCCCTGTAGGATGCGGCGACACCTTTCACGGATAGCGCAGTTAGGGTAATACTTCTAATTAGGATGTATGAAGCGGAGCTCAAAACAAGTTAACCGAGTGGTCATTCAAGTACCTTCTGCTCTGAGGATCTCGGCTGGCTACTATCACATTATAGTTGGCCTCTGAGAGTCGAGCAGTGAGAGCACACGCGAAGTCTCCACTTCCCATCACGACCACAACCCTCCTCCCGTCCACACCTGCCAAGATGTCCACGGTTATATATCAGGCAGCGATTAGTGCCTGCGAAATCCATGAGGACCTATGGAAATGTATAAGACTTACAAAATTCTTATTTGGCTGAAAAAAGACAATAAGAAAAGATCACTGAAAGAAAAATAATTAATGAGGTAGGAGAGGCGCCGTTTTACAGCTGCAGATCAGGCAGTTTTAAACTGCTACACCTGACGTTAGGTAGTTTACGGCTTATAAGGAATCAGAATTGTGCGTTGTCTGATGTGTGAGTACACTGACTCGTTGGAAAGTTGAATGATGGGTAGATTGACCTGTGGGAAGACTGACACATAAACCTGTTGACCTGTCAGAAGTTTTATCTTTGGCTTTAAGAATCTGTGGTTAGGCTGTCTGAAAAGAAGACTGACCTGTAGGTAAACTGATCAATGAATAGGATGATCTGTGGGTAAAGCTGTCCTGTCGGTAGGCTGACTTGTGGATAAACTGACCTGTGCTTAACATGATTTGTGGTTAGGATGGCAAGTAGGTAGCCTAACTCAACGGAAGGCTGACTCACAAGTAGACTGACACATGAATGGGCTAACCTATAGATTGGAGGGTTTATAGATAAACTAACCTGTGAGTAACTTGACTCACAGGCAACCTTATCTGCGAGTAGCCTGATCTGTTTGTAAGCTGTCCTCTGAGTGACTGATTTGTTGGTAGGCTAACTTACAAATAGGCTGACTCGTAGGTAGGTTGACTTAAGATAGACTGTCCTCTGGAAGGCTAACTTATGAGCAGACTGGTTCATTGATCTTATAACTTGGGATAATGATAAATATGAATTTGCCGACTCATAGTTAGTCTGACCTGTAGGCAGACTAACCTGTGTGAGGACTGGCTTGTAGGTGGAGTGACCGTACGTAGACTGAGTATTGGGTAGGATCATTCCTGGGTGGAGACTGACCTGTGGGTATGCTGCAGTCGTTGATTAAGCTCAGGGTAGAGGCGAGAGAAAATCTGGTATCATAAGCAGGGAAGGCAGTGCCTGGAGTGATTGCACCACTGGTGGCTGCACTGTAGGCAGTACTAGCACGAGTGTCCTCGGTCACACCAGCTGGAATGACGGGAGGCTCCTTCGAGAAAAAGTTATCGTATGCAGCCCCTTCATTGTCTGTGGAAGAAAGATGTGTAACATTTGTAGTTTCAGGGGTCGAAGCTTAACTCTTGTCTCTGCTTTTAAACTTGTCGGGTTTACTTACTCCTAGTTTCGTGTTCCATTTCATATCAAATAAAAAGCTATGCATAGCCTGTCTTTAAAACTTCTTGCAAGTCATTTTTCCTATCAGAACGCCCTGGGATATCTATATCTTATCTGTGTTATTATCTTCAATCTATGATCCCATTAACCAATTTTCCACATGCCGAAGACCTATCCCTAAACCATACCCCCGGCCGGGGGTATGGTTTATTTGCAATCGTGTCATTACGATTTCTTGAGTCACCTATCCCTATTTACAATATCATGGCGACCTAGTGTTTAGGATGTCCTATTGCTTCTCCGTTTAGAGACGACAATTTCACCACCTACCACACACTCCTGGGCCCTCTCACCACCTACCACACACTCCTGGGCCCTCTCATCACCTACCACACACTCCTGGGCCCTCTCACCACCTACCATATACTCCTGGACTCTCTCACCACCTACCACACACTCCTGGGCCCTCTCACCACCTACCATGCACTCCTGGGCCCTCTCACCACCTACCACACACTCCTGGGCCCTCTCACCACCTACCATATACTCCTGGGCCCTCTCACCACCTACCACACACTCCTGGGCCCTCTCACCACCACCATACACTCCTGGGCCCTCTCACCACCTACCACACACTCCAGGACCCTCTCACCACCTACCACATACTCCTGGATCCTCTCACCACCTACCACACACTCCTGGACCCTCTCACCACCTACCACACACTTCTGGACCCTCTCACCACCTACCACATACTCCTAGATCCTCTCACCACCTACCACACACTCCTGGACCCTCTCACCACCTACCAAACTCTCCTGGACCCTCTCACCACCTACCACACACTCCTGGATCCTCACACCACCTACCACACACTCCTGGATCATCTCACCACCTACCACACACTCCTGGATCCTCTCACCACTGTAGACAGCCTGTACTGTCTGCACAGACAGTACATGCTGTCTGCCAGCTTAGTTCATATTTCGCGCCACTTACGTGCTGCCCTCTGGGCCTGCTCCAGGTCTGTGGGAAGCTGGTCCCACAGGCTCTCACTCACACAGCGGCCTAGCAGGAAGACACAAGACCTACTAGTTCTCCCTCTCGTGGGATGGCCCTCTTGGGCCATGGGCACAACACACAGGTCTCTGTGTACCCACCACGACATTTTTAATAAACAAAGAAGTCTCGGGAAGACGTTTATAATTTACACCCCGCTTACAGCCTACCAAATAATTTCATTATAAATGGTGGGAAGCGGTGGTCGCAGCAGTTGTGTTTGCCCGGAGAGAGGAAGGGATGAAGTCATCTTCACTTTATCACCCCATGCAAGAAGCATCCGTCTCTCAACGAGTTATCCTGATGTCGTGTCTGCATGTTTCAGCATCCAGACACAGGTACAAGCAGGATCCAGCCGAAATTTACCGAATTTATTCGAGAATTGTAAGTGGCGTCCCAGTGTACCCACGCTACAGCGTCCCACGCTGTTTCTCAAGTCACATGTTCTGCGTCACTTGTATGTTGCTGTTGTTGTTCAGCTCAGCACAACTGTTTCAGGATGCCAGAGGTGAGTTTTGTGGTGATTTCTGCGTCCAGTGTGAGTTTCTCCACCTGTTTTTAGGAGGGAGAGGAAGTGGCCGTTTCCTCGCCTCACCCATGCTCGCCCTACTCTCACCTCACCAGCCTACCACCACACTCCACCACTATGTACTCACTCCCTCTGATGTGTTTTCTGCTGTTTTCTGTGTGAAATGGTCGCCAGAGCTGTAAATCCGAGTGCCCGAGGCCACTCGAAGCTACGTGGATCAGCATGCCACGTAGATCAGCAGGACACGTGGATCAGCAAGCCACGTGGATCAGGAAGCCACGTGGATCAGCAAGCCCCGTGGATCAGCAGGCCACGTAGATCAGCACACCATGTGGATCCCGACGCCACATGGGATGTGGGCGATGTCACGTGGATCTACAAGCCACGTGGGTTACCAAGCCGGATGTCCCAGGCCTCATGCTGTGGTCTGCTGCCTGCATCACATTGACATCACCCACGCTTCTGCCCGACTTCATGACGTCACGATGTCTGCCTGACGTCACATCGAGATGTCTGCTGACGTCACAGTGCTGCTGACGTCACCTCGCAACGTCACGCCTGACATCACATGATGTCACATCGAGTGTTCTAGTAATTATTTCAGTATTGTCGAGAAGACTGAGAGAAGATATATGTCATGTGTTAAATAATTCCTCTCAGTCAGTGTCCTCATATGTTAGTATATAGCTTAGTGTCAGTTTTGTGCACAGAAAAGCATCATTTGCTAGTTAAGCCATGTTGTACCGCATGTACCGCAGGTGTGTGTAAAGTTTTCCATGTGTCCAGTTTGGTCTGAGCCAGAAATGAGTAGCACTACTGTGTTAAGTCACCCGGTGTGACCAGATATCAGTCAGCTCTGAGCCTGAGCCCCCTTGTACAGAAAGCTCTTATGTTCGTCGCTCGTGATGTCTACAGAATCGTACCTGCTATGATTCCCATCGAGATTTGTTTCCCTTCATCTCCAGACCTTCAGAGTGCAGTTATATGTAGAGAAACAAGTCTGGGGACGCTTAGACAAACCTCTGCTATAACTCCAACTGCTGAGAGAATGACACTCGTCAAGCCGCAGTTAGCCCTGTCGGCAGGCGCTCTGTCAGCCTCGTGTCACAAGCTTCAGTGAGCAGCCTGCACAAAGATGTCACTTTGACTGCTAGCTCTCTCACTGCAGTCTGGTGTATGATGTTACAACTCCCAGATGTTTCGCCCAGTCGTCTCTGCCACGACTCGCTCCACAACTCACTCCACGCTCGCCGGCAGTGACAGCCCAGTGACAGTACCAGTCGAGAATTGCCCTGAGTCGCTTGCCAGAAGTCCTGCCCAGTTGCCGAGTTTTGTCGACGCCTCACTCGAGGGCACCAGCAGGTTGTGCCCCAGGTTGAGTGAAAACCTGCAGCGACTCCTACGATGACTGCTTCACCGTTCTAGAGGAGACCATAACCTGTTATGTCACAGCTCAGCCGCAGCAATGTCTCCTGTGTTGCAGTATCTGTCAAGATGCAGGAAGGGGTGCAGTGATGCCCTTCAATGCTCACTGCCTATGGCCACGATGTTTAGCACACCACATTGTTTTTTTCTTCCCTCCCTGTAGGAAGTTTTTTTTTTCTCCATGCCCATATGTGTACATTTGTTTTTATTTTGTGTTCTGTGCCCTGTTCCTACGAGAGAGACCGATATTTTTTTACCACAAGTATTGTCACGTCGGGACGACGCGAGGTAGGTGGCCGAGCGAATGTAGACAGCCTGTACTGTATGCACAGACAGTACATGCTGTCTGTCAGCTTAGCTCATATTTCGCGCCACTAAGGTGCTGCCCTCTGGGCCTGCTCCAGGTCTGTGGGAAGCTGGTCCCACACGCTCTCACTCACACAGCCGCCTAGCAGGAAGACACAAGGCCTACTAGTTCTCCCTCTCGTGGGATGGCCTTCCTGGGCCATGGACACAACACACAGACCTCTGTGTACCCACCACGAAATTTTCAATAAACAAAGAAGCCTCGGGAAGACGTTTATAATTCACACCCCGCTTTCAGTTCGCCAAATAATTTCGCTATACCACCTATCACTCAATCTTGGACCCTCTCACCATCTACCACACACTCCTGGATCCTTTCACCACCTACCACACACTCCTGAACCCTCACCATCTACCCACACTCCTGGATCCCTCTCACCACCTACCACACACTCCTGGACTCACCATCTCACACCCGATCCTTCACCTACACACATCCTGAACCCTCTCCCATCTACCACACACTCCTGGATCCTTCACCACCTACCACACACTCCTGAACCCTCTCACCATCTACCACACACTCCTGGATCCTCTCACCACCTACCACACACTCCTGGACCCTCTCCATCTACCACACACTCCTGGACCCTCTCACCATCTACCACACACTCCTGGACCCTCTCACCATCTACCACACACTCCTGGACCTCTCTACCATCTACACACACCTGGATTCATCTTCCCATTCACAACTCCGACCTCTCACATTACCCACTCTGAACTTCTCTTGAGTATAATTCAGAGATGTATTCTATTTCTATCCAAATGCCTTTGTTAGATTCTAGAATAAATTCAAGATGGTAGTCGTTTTGCAGAAAGATTTAGGAGCTAAATACAATTCAACCGAATGTAGATGACAGCTTTGCAATTGAGATTTATAGGATGATTGTACATAGCTATTAAATTGAACATTAATGATGGAGTGTCAAACTGTGAATCGATCCATCGATAATCAGTTACTGATATCTTTGCCCTCCTGCAGTTTGATCCTTTGAAGTCTAGAGAGTAAAGTTAAATACAATAAAACAAAATATTAAGTGTAATCTCTTTGGAGAGTTGACGATGGTGGTACGCAAATTTACGCAGGGCAATAATGAGATGGTGAATCCCAATTCTGAGGGAAAAAGGGACCGGTTAATTATCTCGTTATGTGGCAGCTATGGTGGCAACTTTACCTCAATTTGGCATTTGTAAATTGAGTCTCGTCAAGAGGCATAATTACTTTCCAATCAATTACTCGCAAAGGGCAAAATACCTAAGATTCTTTTTATTTTGCATCCATAGAGTGTTTAATGTAGACGAAGGGACCAAACAGACAGTAGCAACACAACTAACGGAATTAGTGCGTTAATCTTTACAGGGAAATGTAGAGTTAATTGCACACTCCTAGAATAATGAAGCTGACCTCCGGGACCGAGCTGAAGTGTAACATCACCCAGGTCTAGAGGTGCCGGGGAAGGAGGAGGAGGTGCTCTTGGACCAGTTATATCCATTTCTTGCTGTCGTTGCAGAGTGTTCCTGTGCACTAGATGACAGCATTCATTAACTCAAGCTGTAAAAGAGTGAACAATGGCATGAATACAAATATCATTCACATAGAAGTCAACAGCCTCATTATTTTTTTTTTTTTGTATAACTCAGCTGAACACCTTGCCAGGAAATTTCTTCCATGTTTTCTAAATAGGAACAAACTTACTTTTTCCACTCTGCATTCTGTGCAGGTTCTTCTCAGCATCCCACCTGACTCTTCACGTCACTATTCCCCCTATATACACTTATGCAAACCACACCACGGGCGGGGTTAGAACCCGCGATCAGAGAGTCAGAAAACTCCAGACCGACGCCTTAGCCACTGGACCAGCTGGCTACAATAAGATTCACCCAACTAGGTATATTTCTACACCATAGGAAGGTTAGCATAGGCACCACTGTGACCATGGTAAGGTTTGTTTGCAATCGTGTCATTACGATTTCGTGAATCATATACTCATGTACTGTTTAGGCAGAGATGTTTGTGACAGGATAAAGCCCACTGCATTTGTAACTATTTTTCTATCTGTTTCTACGTATAATGAATGTTAGTCTACGCATCAGTGTGCTAAGTTGTATCTCCCTCCAAGAAAACACTTCTGAATAAATGGCACTTCAGAATAATTTAAAAAAATATAAACGAAACAGCTCTTTCACTGATATGTCCAAGGATGGAAGTCTAGAAAATTAATGAAGACATCAACGTGGTGTCCCTGACCTAGACACAGAAAAACCAGTCTTATGGTCAGTGAAGACTGTCATGGTGATGTATCTCTGCCACAGGAAATATGCATCCAAAATTATTTAAATGCTGTTACCAGTACAGTTGGAAACAATCTGTTTTTGCATCCAAAACTGTACATGAGTCTAATGAGAATATTTCACGCCAGAAGTACACTTGTGCAAGATATTAAATGAATAATAATAATAACAATAATAATAATAATAATAATAATAATAATAATAATAATAATAATAATAATAATATCTTTATTTACGACAAGTACATGTACAAGGTATACAGACCATAGCTGACATCAGTGACATACTACTATATAGAAAGTCGCTTGTTATGCTGAGCATTTCCCGCAAATTAGGTCAGTTTTGTCCCAGGATGCGACCCACACCAGTCCACTAACACCCAGGTACCCATTTTACTGAAGGGTGAACATAGACAACCGGTGTAAAGAAACACGCCCAGTGTTTCTACCCTGGCTGGGAATCTAACCCAGACCCTCGCCGTGTGAAGCGAGAGCTTTAGCCACCAGGCCACCAGTGAAAGTTAGGGTATTATGGATTCTGTGAGATTCTTGCATCCAGTGCTCGAGTGGGATGCCTCTTTAACGTTAAGCAAATCTAGTGATGGATAATTTGGAAATCTAGTTAGGTGTTTAGGACTTACTGGAACATCCTGTCTCTGTCCACCTTGTCTATTCAACGAAGTATTTTGTATGTCGTTATTATGTCTCCGCTAACCCTCCTGTCCTCCAGTGTCGTCAGGCTGTTTTTTCTTGATGAAGAATTTATATATCTTCTTCAGTGGAGTTCTAAGCTCACAGAGGAAATTAATGTAGTTAATGAGTAAGACATGTGGGTACATTTATTATTGAAACGTTTTGCCTACACGAATAGGCTTATTCAATCAAATACCGACGAGAATAAAAGTGGGGACAGCAGAAGTAGTGGCGAGGTGAAGATGTTATCAGTCATCAACCATGAAGCAGTAGTTTTGAGGTGGTCAGTCCCGCAGCCTGGAGAAGAGTTCAGCTTCATAGTTTCGAACATTGTCTGGAATATTGTTACAGACTATGGAGCTGTATACTTTACCAGGGTAAGAGACTGACTACATCTAAAATTACTTTTAGGTTGATGGATTTACTGCATGTTTACCTCGCTACTACTACTGCTGCTGCTCGTGGCCTGGTGGAATAAGCTCTCGCTTTACACGGTGAGGGTCCGGGTTCGATTCCCGGTGATGGGGTGGAAACATCGGACGTGTTTTCTTACACCGGGTGTCTATGTTCATCCATCAGTAAAATGGGTGCCTGGGTGTTAGTAAACTGGTGTGGGTCGCATCCTGGGACAAAACTGACCTAGTTTGCGGGGAAATGCTCAGCATAACAAGCGGCTTTCTATATAGTAGTATGTCACTGATGTCAGCTATGGTCTGTATACCTTGTACATGTACTGGTAGTAAAAACCTATTATTATTATTATTATTATTATTATTATTATTATTATTATTATTATTATTATTATTTTTTTCTTCAGTAATTGAATGAAGAAGCCTACCATGTAGGCGAAACGTTGCAACAATAAAGATACCCAACTGTTGTAGATGTGTCTTACTCGTCTACTTGTCGGTATCGTCTACCATTTCCACAGTTATAATGCAGTAAATATTACATATTACATATTAATATTATTACAGTCAACCAAAATTCTCAATGACAACCTTCTAACATTACGACTGTGGGAGGACAGTCCACCAGCGAACGTTTGTTATATATTTTGGGTATTTTTAAACTAGCAAAATATATTCGACAAACTGGATTGGTGAAAAAATCTACAAGTAATCCATACTAAGTCACTGCAAAATCAAGATTATAAGAACAGTGATGTAGACGAGAGTCAGTGTTAGGAAGGTCAAGCATCAATTAGAAGACTTAAGATACAAAACGGTGGTTCATCTATAATGTAAAGGAGAAAAAGGCACAATACTGTGACTGGAACAATACAAGAATAACCCGCACATAGAAAGGAGGAGCTTACGACGACGTTTCGGTCCGACTTGGACCATTTAAGAACATAAGAAAGAAGGAACACTGCAACAGGCCTACTGACCCATGCGGAGCAAGTCCATGTCCCCTCCCCGGATTAGCCCAATGACCCCCCCCCCCAGGATTAGCCCAATGACCCACCCAGTCTGGTCACCTCCACTCAAGGAAGGAGCACGGCACCAGACCCATCAGCACAAGCTAGTCAGGTCCAACTCACACCCACCCACACTCACTCAAGTATTTATCTAACCTATTTTTAAAACTGCACAACGTTTTAGCCTCAATAGCTGTACTCGGGAGTTTGTTCCACTCATCCACAACTCTATTACCAAACCAGTGCTTTCCTATATCCTTCCTGAATCTGAATTTTTCCAACTTGAAACCATTGCTGCGAGTCCTGTCTTGGCTGGAAATTTTCAGCAATCTATTTACATCCCCTTCATTTATTCCTGTTTTCCATTTATACACCTCGATCATATGCCCCCTAATTCTACGCCTTTCGAGAGAGTGCAGATTCAGGCCCCTCAGTCTATCTTCATAGGGAAGATTTCTAATACATGGATCAACTTTGTCATCCTCCTCTGTACGTTTTCCAGAGCATTTATATCCATTCTGTAATACGGTGACCAGAACTGAGCAGCATAGTCTAAATGAGGCCTAACCAAGGATATATAGAGTTGAAGAACAACCTGAGGACTTCTATTATTTATACTTCTAGATATGAAGCCAAGAATTCTGTTAGCTTTATTGCGAACACTAATGCACTGTTGTCTTGGGTTTAGATTACTGCTAACCAGAATTCCTAAATTCTTCTCGCAATCAGTAGTATTAAGATCTACATTATTTAGTTTATATGTGGCATGGTTATTTAACTGTCCAACATTTAGTCAACATTTGTCAATATTAAACTGCATCTGCCACTTTTCCGTCCATTGCATCAGTCTATTCAAATCATCCTGGAGTGCTCTAGTGTCCTCATTAGAATGTATTGGACGGCCTATTTTGGTGTCATCAGCAAATTTGCTAATGTCGCTATTTATTCTCTCATCTACTTCGTTTAGGTAAATTGTGAACAACAACGGGCCCAACATTGACCCCTGAGGAACACCGCTTGCGACGTACCCCCATTCTGATTTCTCCCCATTTATGCAAACTCTCTGCTGCCTATTTGTCAGCCATGCCTCTACCCAGGAAAAAATTTCTCCTATTCCGTGTGCCTTAAGTTTCCTCAATAGCCTCTGGTGTGGAACTCTATCGAAAGTCTTACTGAAGTCCATATACACAATATCATATTCATTACCATGATCTACCTCCTCAAACACCTTAGTGAAAAAAGTAAATTCGTAAGACAGGAACGCCCCTTTGTAAAACCGTGTTGGGATTCATTAATCAATCTGTGCCTGTCAAGATGGCTACGAATTGCCTCGGCAATTACTGATTCCAGTTGTAGTCACAACTCCAGGAACTTCGATGCTTTTGAGTTTTCATCGCTTGACTTACCCATTTAAAACATCCTGAAGAAATATGGGTTATCCTTCAGCTCGTCCTGGAATCTAAGGTTAGTTGTTTGGTATCTGTAAGAGACAGTGTTGTCCACCATCTTGCAACCTTACGGCAAGATCGTTGGAGTGAACTCTAAGAGCCTGGGAGTAGCTGGAAGAACATGAGAGTGAGCTCTAAGACTGTGAGAGTGAGTTCTAAGAGGGTGGAAGCTCTAAGAGCGTGGGAGTGAGCTCTAAAAGCAAAGACAGAGCAATACAAGCTTAGGAGTGAGTTGATGCATACCTTAAGTGCTGGGCTGTAGTAGCGTCTCCTTCCAGAGGTTCGCCAGATAGACTGAGCACTCCTGGTGACTGGCTGCAGCAGCTGGTGCGATCAGATCGTGTGATCATTAATCACATATGTAATGATGACTCTGATCATCCTCCCACCTCCTCCTCCAACAATCATAGTTGCAATGCAAATACCATCCGGTTAGCCGGCAATATTTCAGAGTGGTACAGAGGTAAAGTAACTTGACATTAACAGTCATATTTCAGTTGCCACCAATGCTATTATAGACTTTACCAGAGTTGATTGCGGTCGCTTTCTAGTGGTGAGACTATATCAGCAGCGATGAATTGTCCACTAATCTGTCAGTCTGATAAGGTTAGACAATGGGCCTGTGTATATATGCATGGGAGGGAGGGAGAAAAGAGAGAGAGAGAGAGAGAGAGAGAGAGAGAGAGAGAGAGAGAGAGAGAGAGAGATTTGATAAAGCTGAAGTGTTAATATCGGTATATTTTTTTTAATGATTCGTTTAGATTTTATCCATTAAGTAATTATATAAAGTATTTAACAAACTCTTTTAAATTTAATACAAAGGAAATCTTTACGACTTATTAACAACATAATAAGATTTCATTCGGATTTTAACCCCGCAGGGTTAGCAGCCCAGGATAATCCAAGAAAGTCAGTGCGTCATCGATGACTGTCTTATTTGCATTGTGGTCCTCAATCTTGTCCCCCGGGATGCGACCCACACCAGTCCACTAACACCCAGGTACCTACTTGCTGCTAGGTGAACAGGACAACAGATGTAAGGAAACGTGTCGAAATGTTTCTACCCCGCTGGGGATCGAACCCGGGCCCTCCGTGTGTGAAGCGAGAGCTTTGCCAGCCAGGCCACGGGGTCACCTAATCATGAACTCATCATGAACTTTACTCGAAAATTTGCAGCAACTCTTTCTCAACTGCATGAAAGACGAAGCTTCGCAAGTTTGAAAAGATTTGCCAGTTTGTCCTCAGTAAAAGGTGTCACAAGCTTTACAAGGGATGGAGTATACACAACCTAAAGATTCCTTGGGAGAATTTTTGGCTAATTTTTCTTTTACGGCATATTTAAAGACAACTTTAACATATTAACTTATTCAGATTTTCATTATATGGTAAAACCATATATAAGCGAGAGAATTTGTTGGTTTTACCATAGGTTTTATTTCCTACTCTCACTATGGTCTCAAGGCAGCGGGGGCGTTGACCCCCGCAACTCTCTACAGGTATACTCTCCAGGCATGTGTTTGCATGTGTGTGTGTATGTGTGTGTGTGTGTGTGTGTGTATGTGTGTGTATGTGTGTGTATGTGTGTGTGTGTGTGTGTGTGTGTGTGTGTGTGTGTACTCACCAAATTGTACTCACCTAATTGTGGTTGCAGGGGTCGAGACTCAGCTCCTGGCCCCGCCTCTTCACTGATTGCTACTAGGTCCTCTCTCTCTCTGCTTCCTGAGCTTTATCATACCTCTTCTTAAAACTATGTATGGTTCCTGCCTCCACTACTTCACTTGCTAGGCTATTCCACTTCCTGACGACTCTATGACTGAAGAAATACTTCCTGACGTCCCTGTGACTCGTCTGAGTCTTCAGCTTCCAGTTGTGACCCCTTGTTCCTGTGTCCCCTCTCTGGAACATCCTATCTCTGTCCACCTTGTCTATTCCCCGCAGTATCTTGTATGTTGTTATCATGTCTCCCCTGACCCTTCTGTCCTCCAGTGTCGTCAGTCCGATTTCCCTCAACCTTTCCTCGTACGACATTCCCCTGAGCTCTGGGACTAGCCTTGTTGCAAACCTTTGCACCCTCTCCAACTTCTTGACGTGCTTGACCAGGTGTGATTTCCAGACTGGTGCTGCATACTCCAGTATGGGCCTAACATACACAGTGTACAGTGTCTTGAACGATTCCTTATTAAGGTATCGGAACGCTATTCTCAGGTTTGCCAGGCGCCCGTATGCTGCAACAGTTATTTGGTTGATGTGTGCCTCCGGTGACGTGCACGGTGTTATGGTCACCCCGAGGTCTTTCTCCCTGAGTGAGGTCTGTAGTCTTTGTCTACCTAGCCTATACTCTGTCTGCAGTCTTCTTTGCCCCTCCCCAATCTTCATGACTTTGCATTTGGCACGATTGAATTCGGGAAGCCAGTTTCTGGACTACATGTCCAGCCTGTCCAGGTCTCTTTGCAGTCCTGCCTCATCCTCATCCGATTTAATTCTTCTCATCAACTTCACATCATCTGCGAATAGGGACAATTCAGAGTCTATTCCTTCCATCATGTCGTTCGCATATATCAAAAATAGCACTGGTCCTAAAACTGAACCCTGTGGGACCCCGCTCGTCACAGGCGCCCACTGTGATACCTCTTCACGTACCATGACTCGTTGCTGCCTCCCTGTCAGGTATTCCCTGATCCATTGCAGTGCCCTCCCTGTTATATGCGCCTGATCTTCCAGCTTCTGCACTAATCTCTTGTGGGGAACTGTGTCAAAGGCCTTCCTGCAGTCTAGGAAAAGGCAATCAACCCACCCCTCTCTCTCGTGTCTTACTTCTGTTACCTGGTATCACAAATCTGGTATCACAAACCTCCAGGAGGTTTGTGATACCAGATTTGCCTTCCATGAACCCATGCTGGTTTTCATTTATAATCTTGTTCCGTTCCAGGTGTTCGACGACTCTCCTCCTGATAATCTTCTCCACGACTTTGCACACAATACCTGTCAGAGACACAGGTCTGTAGTTTAGCGCCTCGTTCCTGTTTCCTTTCTTAAATATGGGGACTACATTTGCTGTCTTCCATTTCTCAGGTAGTTGCCCAGTTTCAAGGGATGTGTTGAAGATTGTGGTTAGAGGCACGAACAGGCACAGCATCTCTGCTCCTTCTCTAAGGACCCTGGGGGAGATGTTGTCCGGTCCCATCGCCTTTGAGGTATCAAGGTCACTTAGCAGCTTCTTCACCTCCTCCTCGGTTGTTCGTATGTCATCCAGCACTTGTTGGTATAATCCCTCTTGATGTTCCCTTCTGTGCTGTCTTCCCACAGCCCTTCCTGTCTCTACTGTAAAAACTTCCTTAAATCTCCTGTTTAGCTCCTCACATACCTCCTGATCATTTCTTGTGAGTTCTCCACCTTGTGTCCTTAATCTGATCACCTGGTCTTTGACTGTTGTCATCCTCCTGATGTGGCTATACAACAGTTTCGGGTCAGTCTTGATTTTCGATGTTATGTCATTTTCATACTGTCGCTGGGCCTCCCTCCTTACCTGTGAGTACTCGTTCCTGGCTCTGCGACTGATCTCCCTATTTTCGTGTGTTCTCTGCCTTCTGTACTTTTTACATTCTCTATTGCACTTTGCTTTTGCCTCCTTACACCGTCGGGTAAACCAGGGGCTCGTTCTGGTCTTCCCATTGTTTCTGTTGCCCTTGGGAATAAACCTTTCCACTGCTTCCTTGCATTTTGTTGTTACATATTCCATCATTTCGTTTACTGGCTTTCCTGCCAGCTCTCTGTCCCACTGGACCTCCCGCAGGAAGTTCCTCAACCCTATGTAGTCCCCTCTTTTATAGTCAGGGTTTTCCCATTCAACTCCTGTTACTCTCTCCACTTGCAGCTCTACTATATATTCAAAGCACAGAACCACGTGGTCGCTAGCTCCTAGGGGTCTCTCATACGTGATGTCCTCAATGTCTGAGCTGCCCAGGGTGAACACAAGGTCCAATCTTGCTGGTTCATCCTCCCCTCTCACTCTGGAAGTGTCCTTAACATGTTGGTGCATGAGGTTTTCCAGCACAACGTCCAACATCCAGGCTCTCCATGTTTCGGGACTCCCATGTGGCTCCAGGTTTTCCCAGTCAATCTCCCTGTGGTTGAAATCCCCCATAACCAGCAACTTTGCTCTTCTGGAGTGAGCTCTTTTTGCCACCTCAGCAAGTGTGTCCACCACTGCTCTGTTGGTCTCTTCATATTCCTCTCTTGGCCTCCTGCAGTTCTGTGGTGGATTATACATCACTGCAATGACCACCTTGTGTTCCCCAGATTGAAGTGTTCCTACTATGTAGTCTCTTTCTCCCGTCTCATGTATGCCTTCCATTTTCTCGAATTTCCATCTGTTTTGTACAAGCAGAGCAACCCCACCTCCCCCTCTGCCCCTTCTATCTTTCCTCATGATCTGGTATCCTGGTGGGAAGAGTGCATCTGTTATTGTCTCCGTGAGTTTTGTTTCTGTAACTGCTATGATGTCTGGGGACTTCTCATTTATTCTTTCTTGCAATTCCTCATGTTTATTCGTTAATCCATCTGCATTTGTGTACCAAACCTTCAACTTCTGATCTAATACTGTAACTATGGTGCGGGGGGTGGGAACAGAGGGATCGGTGTGTGATGGTTGGTTTGGATTGTTCAGTTGCCTTGGGGGTGTCGTGGCTGGGGTCCTTCTGTAGGTGTTTCTGGGGGTGAGCTTGTCCTTCCACATGTTCCTGGGTTATTCTGCTCTCCTTTTTCATTACCTCCCATTTCTCCTTTCGTTTTTGAACTCTCTCTTTCATCGTCTTCCTTTCCTCCTGTGTTCTGTCTCGATCGAGGTACACACTCATGAACTCCTGCCTGCCTCTCAGCCGTGCTTTCTCCTGCAGGATCATGGTTCGGGTTGATTCTGCCTTGAAAATTACTTTTAGAGGCCGATTCCTTTTCTTTGTGAACCACCCGATTCTCCAAAAATTTGCCACCTGGGTCATGTCCCCCACGCCTATCGCCTTCATGATACCTTCAGTCGCTGTTTTCTCCTCCAGCTTTCTTTCATCATAAGCTTCCCCTTTAGCTTCGTCTAGCCCATAGACAAACACTGATCTCTCCCTTTCCACCTCCCACTGTGACTCCCATTGTGTACTCACCTAGTTGTACTCACCTAGTTGAGGTTGCGGGGGTCGAGTCCGAGCTCCTGGCCCCGCCTCTTCACTGATCGGTACTAGGTCACTCTCCCTGAGCCGTGAGCTTTATCATACCTCTGCTTAAAGCTATGTATGGATCCTGCCTCCACTACATCGCTTCCCAAACTATTCCACTTACTGACTACTCTGTGGCTGAAGAAATACTTCCTAACATCCCTGTGATTCATCTGTGTCTTCAGCTTCCAACTGTGTCCCCT